ATTTCTGAACACAGATGTGGGGAGTGCCTGTTTTGGAAGGTGTGGCTTCACCCAGCTACTCCTTGAGCCTTGATTGCCATGGTAAGGCTTTCGGACATGTATAGTGTACATAGGAGGGGAGCATAATGATGAATAGCAATCAGTATGCAGTTTTGGCTTAGGGGGAAGTTAAATCTTACATTTTCCAGGAGAATGTTATTTCTGGTGGTTTTGGTGTTTTGCATTAATGAACAAGTTCTGAAATTCCACAGATAACACATTTTCCTATATTTGCCCCAAAGGGGGGGGGGGGGGGGGGGGAGAGAAAGCCATTCATGAAACATTGCCCTTTGTTTCTTGTGGAAGACAGCAGAAAATTTGAGACCAGAGCATCAAATGTTTCACTTCTCATCAAACCCATGGAAATGTCATTTTTTCCAGGTTTACCAGAGCTGCAAGTATGTTCACATAAGCTGATACTACCAGTATGGCTAATGGACTAGATCCACAGCCAGCACTAGCTGGCATTGCCCTGCGGTATACTTGTTACCTTAGCAGCTTGCCAACCATGGTATCATTTTCCAGATGATTTGCATTGAACTATGACGATTTATATTCACTGAGGATTTGGCCAACTGACACCCACCCAGAAGGACTTTGTTTTATGGAGCTTTACCCATATCTTACAAACCAACCTGATTAAAATGCCCCACCTTTATGTCAGGTCATCAGTACCATGATGACATTTCTTCCATGGCAATGCATTGTGTGACTTTGTGACATATCTGGCAAAGCTCCACTGAGAAGGTCCAGTCTTGGTAAATACAAAAAGGAAGAGAAGCGAGCAAATGGATGAAACCAGTGAAATCCCTAAGATTAAAGAAGAGATGGGGTCATTTCTGAATGACTAAAACACACTTCGGCTGAGGTTACTGGTCTATGGCAACCTTGAAATCTTATAGACACTGTGTTTTTTCCCCACAGCCTGCCAAGACCTTGCTGACACATCCAGCATAAAAAAAGAATCAGCGTACACTATATCCTGAAAGGTTTCTGGGTTATCCTCCTCTAACATATTTAATGCTTGAGCACGCAGAAGCAGAGGGCTCCATCTTTTTTATTTTTTTTTAGTTTTTGTATTTGAGAAGATAGTTCTCTTCCCTTCTATTCCCTTCTATTCACTTCTATTCCCTGTTTGGTTCCCAGATTGAACCTGTCCAGTTCCCATCCTTTGTGCTTTCAGGAAAGGGAAGCTTTTCTAAGTGTCTTATTTATGATGCCTTCAGAGCTCATCCATCCTCTATTTGGGCTTTTTTATTTACTGAAGACAAGTCTCAACTTTTTCCTTCATTTCTTTGATGCTCTCTCATCAAGGGCATGACAAGCACCCAGTCCTTCAGTGAGCACTCCCTTCCCTACAGTTTGTAATTACATATGCATTTAATCTACATGCAGCTTTAAAAGAAATACACTTAACAACAGACACTGCTCTTTTCTGGACACTGATGTCTGAGCAAATAGCACTGCAAACTTCAGGCGACACAACCCCATTTGCTTTTAGAAGTGTAAGCTAGTGGTCTGCTGTAAAGCTGGGAATTAGAGTCCAAAAGATAGGGAAAGGTACCACTGGCAGACTGGGAATTAGAGTGCAAAAGATAAGGAAAAGTACCACTGGCAGGCTTAGAAAGAGGTAAAAAAACAAAACAGGTGGATTTGGGGAGGTTTACCCAAAGAAAAGAACAAACCCACCCATTCTGGATTTTCCCAAGATCGGGAGAGTGTCAAACAACGTACATCAACTGGGTGCGTAGCTGGCTTCTCATCACCACCCCACCAAGCCTGCCTGTCTCCCCTAGCACTTCCCTCCGCTGGCAAAGTACCTCTGCTGCAGCCAGGGAGGAACTTGTTGGGCTAAGGGAGCTGCTGTCCACATTGAGTACACACAGCAGGAGTTATGCTGCAGCATTTTCCCACCAAGTGTCTTTCCTGGCTTGTTTTGGCTCTGTTTGTAGCTATACATACTATTTTTTTTTTCTGGATGCTGGCTTTGAAATCCACATTGCCTTTTTCTTCAATTCTCTTGACAAATGGCTCTGTTTAATCTAGGCCTCCCCATATTTCCCCTCTATTTCTCTTTCTCTTGAGTCTCAACCACAACTGGGGCTGCAACCAAGGACTTTGACAGACATTTTCAAAGCAATCTGTTTCAGTCTTCAGTTCAAGACCAGTTGTAAGTTATTCTGTGGCCAGCCTTTTTTTGTTTGTTTGTTTTTTTTTGTGCAATCTCTGCTTTAGAGCATATTATTTATGTTTCTTCTTTGTGGGTAGAGAAAAAGGCATTCCTCTGATTTCTGGCCTGTGGTATCACAGATAGCTTTTCTCCTTGCCAAGTAGATCAGGCACCTCAGGACTAGCAGATGTCAGACATAAGCTGCCTATCTGACTCGTCCCACAGCAATCCTATAGCTTTCTAGGTACAGCATGGAGTACTGTAAAAGCTTTCCATATATTTAGTACTTCAGCCTTTGTAAAATACTCAGCTACTTGTTTCAGCTGCTGACTGTGGACTTTTTTTCTTATTCTGGTGTTCAGTAACCACCCAGGGCTTGCATAGTTTTTTAGATAGACCTGGTTCAGCTACGTCTCCTTCCAACAGTAACAACAGCCCCTGACAAAGGCAGCTTGCCCTTTATAAGGTAGTGCAGGGCCCCTTTGAGATCCTGGCACATCCCCCCAGGACCTGATTTGTGTGGTGGGAAGGGGTGGAACCTGAAGTTAAGAAAAGGTGAAAGAGGCAATGAGAAAGGACATTTGGATGTCTTCATGTCTATAAAGGAAGGAGTTAGGAATTGGGATAGAGGAAGAAAACAAACAATGTGTTTTCTGGGGAAAGAACAGGAGATGGTGTTGTGGCAGAGATGCTTTTCTGAAAGTTTCCATAAATCAGGGATGAAGACAACTATGGCTGGTAGAAATATTGATATTGTCTTCCTAAGCTGGTATAGGCACAGACAGATGAGGAAAAGTAGGGGTGAGATCTTCAGAAAGATGCTTGTCTGTCTGCCTCTATCATGAGAGAAAATATATAGGGAGACTGTATGGTGCAAAGAATTTAAAGTAAGTAGGGGCTTTTCCATTCTGTCTCTTATGCCAGTCCACAAGGTGAAGGCCAGCAAGCTGAGCCACAGAAGGCAATCTCTAGCCGAAGTACTTCACAAAATTGTTGTGCGGGAGAGCTGAAGTGGCTAATGGCGCAAGAGGCTGCAGAAGAATCATAGAATCATAAAATAGTTAGGGTTGGAAAGGACCTTAAGATCATCAAGTTCCAACCCCCATTTAAGGGACACCTCCTACTAAGCCTCCCAAGGCTCTGTCCAACCTGGCCTTGAACACCACCAGGGATGGAGCATTCACAACCTCCCTGGGCAACCCATTCCAGTGCCTCACCACCCTAACAGTAAACAACTTCTTCCTTATATCCAATCTAAACTTACCCTATATAAGTTTGAACCCATTACCCCTTGTCCTATCACTACAGTCCCTAATGAATCCCTGTAGCCCCCCTTCAGATACTGGAAGGCTGCTAAAGAATCTGGGTGATGACAGGAGATGTGAGAAAAGTGCTACGTGTACCTCAATGCACTGCAATTAGGAGTTAGGTAATACGAGGAGCTATATCTACCTGAGGCACCATGTTGTTGGGAGCGGGTTGTCAGTGCTTCGCAACAGCCCAGGAGTAAATCAAACTTGATTCCCCGCATTTAGTGAAAACTTGACAGGTGGGCAGGAGGGTTGAGAATGCAGCAATTCCACAGGTTTTGGGAAACAAGTGATCTGGGAGAAGATGGGAGAAAGCAAACTTCTAAACCTCTAAAACCACATGGGATTGCTGATTCTCCTCCATAAGACTGATTCAGATCTGCTTGAACTGTGTTAGCTCTTATTTGTAGGCTGTAGTTTGGCTTATCAAAAAAAAAAAAAAAAAGAAGAGAGGGAAAAAATAGACCCCAAACCAGAAACAAACGAGAAGGGGAGCAGACCCAAATCCACACCACATTGAGCGGCTGTGTAATAGCACCTTGCAAATGGGTTCACCATGGGATTGCAGATGACTTAATAGTATATAACGGACCACAATGCTCAAGTGACTCATTGCTTTTGCTATATCTGTTCAAGATCACCATATTTAGTAAGAGAGATTTGCCATCACAAAACTTCTAATAAATTCTGTTGCTTCGCAATATCCATGGTGCTTTTGAGAAAAATATGGCATACCTCGTGCTCTGAGAATGTCTCAACCCACTCTGCACATGTGAACCATCGCTATCATCCAGCCTCTTCCCATGAGGGGCTGATACTCCACTGCATTTGCATTGTGTGTTGCTTCATTATGTTGGACTTCCACTTCAGTAGGTTGAGAATGCTCCATCCCTGGAAGCATTCAAGGCCAGGTTGGATGGGATTTTGAGCAACCTAGTCTAGTGGAAGGTGTCCTTTCCATTGGATGGTGGGGTTGGAACTAGATGATTTTAAGGTCCTTTCTGACCTAAACCATTTTATGATTCTATGAAACAAACCACTTCAAACTAAGGTCCTAAATTCCCTACCTTCCCCTCTACCTCTTAACTCCATTTACCCGTATTTCTTAAATGTATAGCAGCAGCTTATTTATTAGCGCTCTTCAGAAAATAATTGCACTGGTGACATTAGTGCAAAGAGTGCCAGTCATATCAAAGGCCTTCTGTACACAGCATCACATACACATGCACAAGAAGTAGGAATGCTCTGATCTACAAACTCTTGGCTGTGCAAACAAACTTTCTAAAATCACTTTTATATGTAATGTTTTATTTTTACATTTCAGCCCAGACTAAGCTCTGTCAGCTTGCCTTTCTCCAGAAAATTCTTTAGATGCTCAGCTGAATTCATTGTCACAGCTGACCTCAGGTTCTTAATTTTCACTAATTACTAATATTGGCAATTTCCCTCTGATGTCAGGATAGGCCTTGCTTGAGGAATGACTAAACAAGACCCTCAGGGTAAAGTGCTCCATATGTTTTAGGAGAGGGGTTTTTTTTTGTGTTGCTTTAGTGAGAATGTGGGAGAGGGTTTTAGAAAACTTTCTAGCTCAGCTTTCTTGGGTTACTTTTTCCATGAAAGGTAACAGATGCTCACTGTGACGTGAACGTTATTTCCATGCTTACAGAGAAGAAATAAGGATCAGTGTGATCGAGACTTAAAGGTTAGTTTATTTCAAATTATTTTGTGACGTCAATAGGCAATGATATATATAGCATAATATTTTCCCTCCTTACCACAGGGCCTTTAAAAGTATATCTTTGTTGACTTAGTTGCCATAGCAGTGACTAACATGGATATATATATATGTATGCACGTGCATATATGTGAGGAGGGATTCCCCAGCCCTAGGGTTGATTGTGTTGGCTTCTGTGGTTGTATTTCCTTTTTCTTCCCCTGCTCGAGGTGCTAAAAGACAGCTTGTGAAGCATCCTGGAGTTGGGAAATCAATCTTTTCAGTCAACCATCTTGAAGCGTGGGCCTTATTGTGTTTTGCAGGGCACTGGTATTTAGTGCTTATCTCCTAAAACAGGTAGCAATGTGTGGGCAGAGCAAAGCTCCCACATTACCCCCTCAGTGCCAGGATGATTCGTGTGGAAGCAGATGATGGAGATTTGCAAGGAGATGGGGCTCCACAAATAAATTAGGAGGCTATTAGTAGTAAATGTGCTGTTTACTATTTAGATGGTTTCACATGTGCTCAGATTGTGCTGAAAGGCCTTTGACATATTTAGTTTATCCTTACCTTAGAATAGATTTTTATCTCTGTGCTCATGTTTCAAACTGTTTCTCCCTTTCAGCAGCCTACTAACGTATTTCAGAGATCTTCTTGTCTGTGGTGTCTGTTAGGGTCGTTGCCTGCATTTTCTCTGCCCTGAGCTCTGCACCCTGTAAATAGCAGGAGTGTGATCCAGGCCTGGAATCGCCCCTGAGTTCAGCCCTTGGGAAGCAAAACACTTTCAGAGGGTTTCTTGATCTCTTTTTGGTGGAGCTCAGTAGTCACCTAAATCTGAGCCCCAGTGAGTGGAGGCACACTGGGTGGTTTGGGTGCAGGGGTGAAGCTGCCTAATTGCTCTGTGCTGCAGTCATGTCTCCAGTGTCACCATCCTGATGTCTCTCCCACCTCTTCTCCTCTCCTGCAGTCAGAAGGCAGCAAACTCTGAGCAGGTAGCTGCAGAGAGGGAGTGAATGTGGCTTCCTTTACTCTCTGAATATCTTTTGCTTCTCAAGTGACAACAAACCTCAGGGCAGTCCTGGATGTGATGTGGATGTAAGCTCCCTCCTTGTGGCTTTTGGGGGCTGGCAGGAGTAAAAGGGGTGGGAAAGGTTAATCACTATCTGAGAACAAATCATAGAATCATAGAACAGTTAGGGCTGGAAAGGACCTTAAGATGATCTAGTTCCAACCCCCCTGCCACGGGCAAGGACACCTCACACTAAAACATCTCACCCAAGGCTCTGTCCAACCTGGCCTTGAACACTTCCAGGGATGGAGCATTCACAACTTCCCTGGGCAGCCCATTCCAGTGCCTCACCACCCTAACAGTAAAGAACTTCCTCCTTACATCCAATCCAAACTTCCCCTGTTTAAGTTTCAACCCGTTACCCCTTGTCCTGTCACCACAGTCCCTAATGAACAGTCCCTCCCCAGCATCCCTCGAGGACCCCCCAGATACTGGAAGGCTGCTATGAGGTCTCCACACAGCCTTCTCTTCTCCAGGCTGAACAGCCCCAACTTCCTCAGCCTGTCTTCATACAGGAGGTGCTCCAGTCCCCTGATCATCCTCGTGGCCCTCCTCTGGACCTGCGCCAACAGTTCCATGTCCTTTTTATGTTGAGGACACCAGCACTGCACACAATACTCCAAGTGAGGTTTCACGAGAGCAGAGTAGAGGGGCAGGATCACCCCCTTCGACCTGCTGGTCATGCTCCTTTTGATGCAGCCCAGGATACAGTTGGCTTTCTGGGCTGTGAGTGCACACTGCTGGCTCATGTTCATTTTCTCATTAACCAACACCCCCAGGTCCTTCTCTGCAGGGCTGCTCTGAATCTCTTCTCTGCCCAATCTGTAGCTGCACCTGGGATGGGTGAAAATCTTCAAAACTACTGGCAAGTCCCATATATTTGTTGGAGCTGCAGTCAAACTGGACTTGGCCATGTGCTGAAGGAAGAGCGCTTATACATAACACCATCCCAAAGAGCAGAAAGAGGGGAATCTGAGAACCTGAACCAACCTATGGTTTTGTGTTTAAACTCTTGCATTCTTAATGCATCTTTCCCCCCAGTGTTTTTTTTTATTGTGGCTTTTTCATTTTACCTATCCAAACCTATGCTTCTACATCTCCGCAGCCAGCCAAAATTCAATTTTTCCATTTTTGCTTGTGTGTGTTGCTACCAGCAAGTAAGATGTTGGAATGAGAATTTGGCTGGTCAGTGTGTTGATGACAAATGAAAGGGAAGCAAACACAGCTTGCTTGTCTGCAGCTACAGTGGTTCAGCAGGGCTGGCAGTAGTAAAGACATGTTATTTGTTGATAAAATACATGAAGCCAAGCTCTGAGAAGGAGCTGACACGGTGCTATCATCTGCCTGTTCCATCTGCACCTTCAGAAATCCTAGCTTGTTGTGCTGGCTTAACCTGGAGGAGTTGGAATGGTGCATAGCTCCTGCTGGGTAAGATCAGGAGGGATGATCCTGGAGGGGCTGTGAGCACTTCACAGGTAGCCCAGAAAAAATCGCAATGTGCCACTTGCAGAGGTGATATGCATGTGCACGCATATTTACTCTTTGCCAACATAGCATGCGTGTCTATGTGCTTAGTCTTTATACATATTTACATATAATGTATATACACATACATATATACATTATACATATATGTGTATGTTGATATACATGCATTGAAGTGCCACGTAAAGGAGTGAAGGCAGCATACGCCAGCATGCAGGACAGCTAACTGGTGCTCTCTGACTTTTAATCCCACCCCCACCAGTTCCCTTCAGGGTTATCTCAATAATACTGTTTAATGTCTTTCCTTTTGTGTCACTGCTCTGTTGAGACTGAAAGGTCTTCATGCAGGGACTGTCCCTTCGTGTTTGCATGCCCAGTACCCAGTATGGGAGGCCTTGTCCCTAGCTAGGACTTCTGTAATACCAGATAAGCACAGCTACTGAGCATACTGCTGCCTTAAGGCATCTTGAGGAACGGCTCCCAGAGACATTTTGAAGCAGAAGGAGGACTTGTTCTCTTAGTCGTGTAGTGGCTCCTAAGTTAAGGATCCTTGGTGCAAAACAGTGAAGAAAAAGGTATCACTACTTTGTTGCAGAAGTCCTGCCTCTAGCAGAGCAAAGATGTAGCCCAGTAAAAATGATGCTAGTGTCTTCCCAGACTCTCTCTTGATGCTTTGGGCTACACTGCTCAGTCAAGAAAGGATCCCGTAAGTGCATGCAACACAGTACCACTTGCAAAAGGATGCATGCATGGCAGGCTGTAGGAACCAAGGAATTTCCAGAAAGCTCAGCAGCTCTCCAAGCCCTTGACTTACAGCGTGTATCAAATCCTCATAATTATGGTGGTAGCCAGAACAGTAAGAGGCAAACCTTGGACCATAAAGCTGGCATCCTAAATAGCCAAGAGGTGCAGGATGGCAAAGAAAGTGCAGCCATGGAGGGGAGACATGACTTTCCAAGGTTAGATGGTGGGGTGGCAGGGTAGCCAAGAACAATGGCCTGGGAGTCAGGTCTTAGCAACATGACCACATTCCCTGCAGTAATAAGAGTCATAATGAACCTTTGCCAAGAACCAGCTTGGCTCTACTCTGAATGGTCACCATTTCTGAGGTTTTTTGGGGGGAAAGAATAGCAGTTCAACAGCAAATAAACCCATTCTTTTCTAGTCCTAGAGGTACTAAAAGCAGTAATAATGGGGAACCAACAGTATTGTTGATTTTCTTCATTGCCCCAAACCTACCAGGAGGCAGAAAATCTTCACCTCTGTTTGTATCTTTCAAAACAAATGTCCTTCTAAATCTGCTGCTGCATCTCCTTTGACGCATCCCAAGTAATGGGTGCTTCTACAAGACTTCTGAGCTTTGCATATTATGGACACCATGGTGGGGAAACAGGACCATAACAAATCTGGCTTCTCACCGATTTAAAAGGTTGCTCTGGTAAGTCAAAGCCCTTTGGTATGGAATGTAGTCCTCATCCATTCATACATCTAATTTTAATTATATGATATACTGATAATACACAGCAACAGCCTCTCCCTTGAAAATAAAGCGTCTGACCCTCAGCTACTTTCTACACAAACAGATTGGTGTGGAGTCTATGGATGTTAGGGACACTGGTCCAGACTCTAAACAACAGAGCCCATTTAATTTCAAGAGCTGAATCTCCACAAAATGTTCACAGCAAAGCCCCAAACTAGGTGCAATAAATCTAACACCAGCCAAGTTTGCAAACCCAGGCTGAATTGCAGGAAAGCCCTGGGCCAGGTTTGTAAGAAGCCCTGGGCCAGGTTTCCAGTTAGCTTTGAAGACACATTTTAAAGAGGCTCCTGATCAGGATTTTGATCTTCCCACAGGCTATGCTTCAAGGTATTTCCACCAGCCAGGATTTGAGCTCGCTGCTGCCAAATTCCATACCTGCTTGGGGCAGAGCAGCAGCAATGTCCAGAGGCAGGTTTCAGCTGTGCCTAGCTCCCCTTCCCGAGCAGCACTGGTGCCCCAGGGAAGGTGCTCTCAGCCCAGCCGGCAGCACAGGCAGGGCTGAGTGGCAGGCAGCTTCCCCTATAGATTGCAGCTGTTTCGTTTTCATCGGGTTTCAGCACTTGGCATTTTGGGCTGAATTTCACGCCAAGTATTCAAATCCAAGAGGCCCACAGGCCTTGTGGACATGCAAAACCACCAATGTAATGAAAATTGGTTTAAAATTGATTTACTTAAAAAAAAAAAAAAAAAATTCAAGCCACCATGTGGAAACATTTAGAAGAGTCAGTTATGAAGTTTAACTAAATGGAAGTAAATGCCTTTGAATGTGTCCATACAAAGCACTGCACTGGTGAAAGTCAATCTATTTACTGTGAATTTTAATTAAACCAGTTGCTCTCTTATTTAATAACCAGCAGGGAGTAAAGTTGCCAATCACCGATCACCCTGCTTAGA